GGAGTAGGAGTAATATTTTCCTCCTTATTCTCAGCATTTAGCAACTTTATTTCTAATCGGGCTTTTTCACTTTGACTTTGGCCTAATTTTTGCTCTAATTCTAATTTTTTGCGGTTAATAGTTTTGAGTTTGTTTTCCAAGCGTTCTATCTCTTTTACTCCGTAATTAATGTTGCTTTCTAAATCTTTTTTCAGTTCTTTATTTTTTTCCCAGTAATCACCAAAATCTTTGAGTTTGCTAATTCGCAATTGGAGAATTTGGTCTTCTAATGCAGAAATTTTTTGTTTTAGTTCTTCGGTATTTTCTTCCGGAGCATCTACAAAAATTTCCTCACTTTCAGCAGAATTAGGCAAATCATTCAAACTTTTACTTCTTTTTAAATGAGAAGGCATAATACCAGGTTTGACTTTTTCTTTTAATTCTTTTGTCATAATTTTAGGTTAAATCCAATTCAAACAATAGGCCACAAAAACTCCGGCGGGAAGAACTATTTCTCCCAAGTAAACCAAGGTATAGCCAGCGAGGAGACCCATAAGAAAATAAATTGCCATAAATTAATTGCGAGGTCAGGAGGTCAATTGACATCATCAGCACAGATTAGAATTTAAAAAAAGGCTTTCTTTTCTGACAAATTAAGCATTTTTGGTCTTCGACAATACTCATATCTTTAATATTTCGTATTTCCATCTTTATTTTTTAATTCTTCAACTTCTTTTTTCAAATCGTCAATCTGTTTCTGCTCCTTGCCGTTCTTTTTCTCTAAAACCATCTGTCTTAATCTCAAATGAACCGTATATCCCGCAAAAATGGCTAAACTGATAACATTAGCAACGGCCAGAGTAATCGCTATTTCACAACAAGTAATCATTATTTCAACTCCTTAGCGCAACCCACAATATCCGCTTTGACATACCGGCCTAAATTCTCCCCAATGTTCTTATAATCTCGGGCTAATTCATGGATTAATTTGTGCTTTAATTCGGCTTTTGTCCGGGCCACCTCCTCTTTGCTACATTTACATTTGCGGGTTAACTCCGTAATTTTTATTCGGTCATTTTCCGGCTGGGATACCAGGTTGACCATGCAATCATAATAAGCACAAGTTTTTTCCTTAGAAATAGGAGTGCGAACTTTAAGGAGTTTAGTGGATTTACTTTTGGCCGTGCGGGGCTTTTTTAAAATTTTAGTAGTTGTTCCCTGAGTGGGAACTGTAATTATTTGATTTTTAGATTTTTTGGTTTTACTTTTCATATTTTCTTTGTTAAATGTATTTCTCCTACAAGGCTAAGAAGTAGTGCGGATATTAAAAGGCAATAAAGTCAGTGAGGTATTTATTAAAGTTTCGACCGACTGTTGGGCCAAAAAGCCACATAAAACGGCTAATAACATACTTAAAATAGTTCCTGCCATAAGTTTTAAAAAAATTCTCCAAATCTCTTAAATTGTCCGCTTCCAGTATTTATCCAATGACGAAGATAACAACCGAAAATGAAACAGGCTGAGAAAAGGATGACATATTTAAGGCTAAAAATTGATGATTTTTGGGGCATATTTATTTTTGAATTAAATTATAGACATAAAGTCCTAAATAACTGACTAAAATGCCTAGGGCGATATATTTTAAATGTTGCATAAGTTATAAATTTTCTTTTTTTTCGATATCTTCCCGCGAACAGGCAATTTCTTTTATTACTGTTCAGCCACAAGAAGAGTTGGATTTTTTATCTTTATTCATCTTTTGTCTACGACAATAGAATAATCACAGATTATTCATTTCAAAAATAAGCAATAGCCAACAGCAAGAATATCCCTACTCCTAAGGCAATGGCTATTTTTTGCGTTCTTTGACTAAAAGCCAAATTTTCTTTTAGCAAATTCTCATAATAAGCCGTTTTAGTTTCCAGAGTAGTTTTGATATTTTCCTCATAAAAACCTTTTAGCGCTCCTTTGAAATCAGGTAAGTAATCTTTTAAGGATTTCATAATTAATTAGTTGCGGTTATATTAAAATTAATGCGAATTGGCTCCCCGTCCTCCGAACTTTTAATGTAATGATAAACCAATAATCCTGCGATTACTGTCCCGACCAGAACATAAGTAATTAGTTGGATTGTCTCGGAATTATCAGGTTTAATCAGACTTAAATTAGTGCTTAAATTTTGAATGGTATTAGTCAGATTAGGGATTACCTGCTGAGTTATTTGATTCACCATGATTTAATTGTTGAGTTTTTGATTGTCTTTGCTGAAATTTGGCCACGGGGTCTAAATCTGATTGATTAAGGCTGCTTTCTGGCGGAGATGATTCCGAACCAGAATTTTCTATTAATGGCTTATATTTTCAATATTCTTGACCTTTAATATCTTTTCGGGGCAAACCCAGATATCTTTTACTACCAACTTTGGTAATTAAGGCTCCATTTATTTTCTTACTTTTTCAGGATAAAATTTTTAGACTGTCCGGCAAAAAATAATGGGGGTCCTCAGTTAAGATTTCTTGGAGAGTGGTAGTGATTACATCTTTGAGGTTGGAAGTATTAAGTTGGTTCATGAGGGCGAAAATGCTTAAAGGAATAAAAGTTTAATAACTACTTTCTTCTTCATCGGTTTTTTTTGGCTTTTTACTAAATATTTTACCAGTTACTTTTTGTAACATTCCTGTTTGGTATAAAAAATAGCCTGCGGCTAATCCGATTGCGAACATGGCTAATTTACCCGTGGCTCAGGCCATTCAAGAGTTTTGATTTTCTAAATTTTCGTTATTTTTAGTCATAGTTTATTATTTTTTTAATTGTTGCACTACTAAATAAAGCACCGAACCATAGACCGCGATAGCGGTTAATCCGATAACTGAATAAGTAAATAATTTTTGGGCGGAATATTCGAGGTCTTCCCGAATGAGTATGCTGCGTTTGTTACTGAATCTTTCTTGTTGAGTTTCTTCTTCTTTGATTGCCATAGTTAATTGATTTGCTTGGATTTTAATATTTCGTTTAATAATTTGTTTTGTTCCTTTAACAGGGCGATGATTTCGGCTTGCTGCTTTTGTTGACTATCTTTGAAGGCTTGGATTTCCCTGGTTAAAGGGGTTAGGTCAAATAGGGACATAATTATTGCTGTTCGTTCTGTAAATTATAATCAATGGCTTTGGTTTCCTTTTGGTGAGTTAAACGGACGGACTTAATGCTTTGAACTTGTTGATTTAAAGCAGTGAATTGCTGGGTGGCACTATTTTCAAGAATGGTTAATCTTTGGTTGATTTGTTGTAGCAGAGAAAGCACCTGAGACATAACTAATTGATTTTCTGCGGCCTGGCCTCCCATAGAGGGAACCATGGGACCCGCAAATTGCTCTAACAATACCGGTAAACAAGAAGCCACCAATTTCATTATTATAGAAGGTTGTTGAGGTTGAGATTGCTGAGGTGGTTGTTGATAGTTTGTCTGGTTTTGAGTGCTTGAATTAGCCTGCTGTTGATTATTTTGCTGATTATTTCAATTCTGATTTTGAAAGTTGTTCATAATTAATGGGCTAAATTTATTAGAGTATTTAAACCAAAGGCCAGACCACCGACTACGGGCAATAATTTCAGGTATTCGTTATTTTTAACTTGCGAACCATAAAAATAGAGACCGACGCAAGTGGCAGCGACTACTAGTAATAAGATTTTTTTATCCATCTAATTCTTTTTTGAGTTTACTAGAAGTTTTGAAATTAATCCGATAATAGCGGTAAACGCCAAAAGAATTTCTAATTCGGCTTATCTTTTTCTGAAAAAATCCTAGATCACCTAATTTTATTTTGGCTCCGTCTTTGGCTTTTTTTAAGTTAGCAAATAAGTCCTTAATCACTAAATCGTAAGCCTGTTTAAGTTCTTGGTTTGGAGTTTTTTTAATCGGTTTTTTTAGCATATTTTTATTTCTATATTCGGGGTTTAATAAAGGATTTATTGGAAATGGCAAGGAGGCACCACCACAAGTAGGCTTGATCCGAGAACTATTTATCCAATTGTGCTTTTTCCGTTCTTTTGATGAAACTGGTTTTCGGAGTAAACCTGAACTTCAGATGCTACCAAACTTAGACATATTCCTTAATCATTATTTCTTAATTCAGTTCTGATAAGCGTAAGCCACTACTAAACCAGCGATGATACCAAAAGCCAAGTAAGTTAATTTGTTTTCTTGGAGTTTCATAATTTTATCTTATTTTTTTAATTTATTATCTTATACAAGGAGGAGAAGTTTCAGAAATAATATTTTTTTCAGTTGCTCTATAAGAGGAGAGCTGGAAAGTTGCTTGGAGAACCAAGGAGAGCTTTCAATATTTTTTTCTGAATGATGCTGAATTCTTTTTCCGAGACTGGGCAGATTACAGTGCTATATTTTTGTTTTTAGTAGTTAGGGTTGGCAAAACCGCAACAGGAATTCTATATTATAGATGTCTATCTAAAACTATATGGAGAACTATAATAGAGAGTTTTTTGGGGAAAAAATTTTTGCTGAATATTCATAAAAATTTTTATGGAGAATAGGGTTAATAATTAGGACAATCTTTTTCCTTCATAATACAAATTAATTCTTGTTTTTTAGCTTTTAGTTTTCTAATGTTTTTATGTAAAGAATGGTCGAAATCAATAAATAATACCGAAAATAAATCATTGTAGGATTTTTCTTTGGCGTGGAAGTAGTTAGGTTGTAAATCACCAATTAAGCGGATTTCTGTGTTGGGGATAGATAATTGGTAAAGATTGGCTTCTGAAATAAATAATTTAACTTCACTTTTTTTGGCGTATTCTTCAAAGAATTTAATAACTTTAATTTTGACTCCATAATTAACAAAATGACAATTTCTTCTCTTATTAATTTCTTTAAAAGTTAAATCATTGAATTCTCCGAAGGTTTGAATGAGCCAAGAGAAAAAAGAACGAAGATGATTTTCCCTTAATCGGTTATGTAAAATTGGGTCATGAATACACTCAGTAAGTAGTTTATCAAAAACAATAATCATTTAGGCAATTATTTGCGAGTGTTTGCCATTAGCAAACTTGATTAGACTTTCAAAAGGAATTTGGGCAA